GCTTTGACCAGTGAGACACTGTAGTATACATGAATAAGCAGAGGTGAAAAAAAAACTTGCACATTTGGGCTTGTAATGATCTTGTTATCCCATAGCCACATGAACAAGCCATGGCTAGCCTACTAAAGGATGAGACACATGACCAATCACTCCAGCTGACAGCTGGCCTACCACCAGATATGTGAGTGAACATATCCAGGACCAGCTAGCCTCCTGCCAACCAACAAATCACAAACCAGAATCAGCCAAGCCTGACCCAGACCAGAAGGACTACCCAGAAGACTCATGAACAAAATAAATGATTATTGTTTTAAGCCACTAAGTTCTGGGGTAGTTTTTTATGCAGCAATAAATAAATGATATACCCTCTGATTCACTTCAGTAATTACTTTATTCCAAACCCTTGCACCATTTAATAACCACCCCTACTACCATTCTCAGCACCTGATTTTACCTCCTTCTTTAATGAGAAAAACGAACATACTTAACTCACACCCTGCCCTAACAGCACACTACAGTGTAGTGGTAAAGAGTACTGATTCTGAAATCAGACTCCCAACTCTTACCTTGGCTCTGGAACACATAAGCAGTATGACCTAGAGAAAATTACATGTTCCTTCTCTGTTAAAGTAGGGGTAGTGATAATACCTACCTCATAAGGTTGTTGTGAGAATTATGAATAAAGCCTTAAGATCATTTCACTGCACATAGTGAATGTTCTAGAAATATAAGTTACTATTATTTTTATTGTGACTAGCCAGTGATCCAGAACTTGATTGTTAACAGCTTTATTCACATATTTATTCATATGCCATAAAATTCATGTATTTACAGTGTACATGTCAATGGTTTTTAGTATATTCACAGAGTACTGCAACCATCACCACAATCTAATTTTAGAGCACTCTCATCACCCCAAAACAAAGCTTGATTTTTGAGGCCTGAAAAACTAAGGTGGCTCTGATCCAAATCCTTAAGGAAGGGCCAAGAGTCCAACAGGGAAGACCAAATACTGATGACAGTCCAATGAGTAGGAGCAGAACTGTAAACAAGAAGTGAAGCCAAGAATCAGAGTCAGATAGAAATAGGGTTGGAGAGGAAACGAAGTTTAATACTTAGACACAAACAGCACCAGACTGTCTCCAGCTAACATTATCACGTATGCCAGACGGACTTAAAGGTGTAGCATTAGGTGAAGCTTCTCACTCCCCACAGTCAGACCTACCCTGTGAAGACTGACAAAGCCAGGATTGCCCCAGATTTCTGCCCTCTAAAAAGGTCCTACCATATCCTGGTAAGCTTTAGTCAAGGTTCCTTGGGTTACAAGTATAACCTTCAAATTCTCCCCAAGTTCTCCAGAATTGAGGTGATCACCTTTATCTTTAATGTCCAGCTAACATAGCCTAAGCCCCCATCCTATGTGACCTCAGGGAGTTCTGTCCACTCCCTAAGTATTTCTAAGATTCCTTGGGAAATGCTTACATGTTCCACAAATATATTATTGTTTCTTGCCATCTCTTACTTCAGTCTACTTCCCTGTGTTTCTCACAAGATCTCTTCATGCTATCTCAAAATCATTTCAACATCCTACCAGGATTATCTTGCTAAAGCTTTGCCCCAAGTGTAGACTTAAGCACCTACCTAAAATCCCTAAGTACAGCTAACCTGAGGCTTTAGTATTTATAAACTTAACTGCTGGCTCAAATATAAAAGGGACTACAACACGAGGAAAGATGATCATTTAAAACAAAATTTTAATTATCATTGCCCTAGAATCTACTGGCAATACTTTATCCCTGAGGGTTCTCTACCAGTGAGCTCTCTCCTTATCCTCCAGTTGGTCATGGTGTTGTAGAATGGCAGCTCTCCTCCCAAAATCAGGAGTCACTTTAGCATTATCTTTTCCTTTCCAAGCCATGGGCTTTCGCTCTCTTTCTCAGACCCAGCCAGAGAAAAAGCTGGCCTCTAGGTAGGGGCCACATTTTCTCCTCAAGGATGACTGATAGTGGGAACAAGCACTGAATTCAGGAAAGATCTCCTATTTCCCACCATGCAAAGTATGATATGGACCCTGGCTCCAGGAAGCCAATCCATATTAGTTGACAGTACAGTTTCCAAAGTCTGACTCACTCAGCCTTAACTAGGCCCATGTGTGGTTCACTATCCTATTTCGACACTTCATGTAAGATCCAGTCCAGTTCCTTTTCACACACTTTCCTCCAGGTTATAGTGAAAAGAATTTCAGACCTTCATGCTCCTCTTGTGGACTATCCTCCCAATCTATTATAAGCAAATATTTATACCAAAAACATGCACACTCCTAAAGAAAAATAGTAATTATATTCTGTCACAGAGCAGCCTAAGACTGGAAATATGAAGAATACTACTAACTCTAGGCAGTCAGTTTTATTAAAAATGCAATATATGTGCAAAAGATGCACATAATTCATTCAGACCCTGCCAGGAGTATATATAATATACAGTATATGGATCTTATTACCTTTCTAAAGTATTACATTTTCTGAATCTCAGAACACATCATGTCCCAAGGTTTTGAATAAGGAATTATGGACCTGTGTAATCAAAAGCTGACTTAGGGAAAGTGGTCAATATCTGGAAAGAAACATTTGAGCTAGATAGATAATACTAAAGCTCTCTGATGCATAAGACATTGTTTGCAGGAAATCTAACCTATATGGTAATTGTGAGGATTAAATAACTTTACTATAAAGTCCTTAGAACAGTGACAGACACAGAGTAAGCACTTAACATCAGTATTGCTGTCAATACTGATAGCAATTCTGGATACAATCCTTTCCATAGACCAGGTGTTAGAGACGGTTATGGTACCATAGAACCAGTATACCTTCTAATGTAAACGTTGGCCTCCCAGGTTAGGAAAAAGGGGAGAGGACAGGATCTAGGCCTCCTGAGGCACAGCATAGAATGGTAATCGGAAAAAAATTCCACAGGATAGCATAATAAGAAGTAGAATTCAATAGAGTCGATTACATACTTTTGTGGCTTTCTAATGGACCTAAAATGTCGTCTTCCAGATTTCAGTAGGAACAGATTGTATGAGTGTAACAAAAAGAGAATTAGAGAATTCCACTAGATTGTCTCTCCTAAGGGCCACTGCCTGTTGTGTATACTTAGCACCTCTCCTTTGCGTAATGTAAATGTTCTGTGGGACTGTGGTTCAAATTGTGTGGGAAAGTGGAGGAGAGCACTAATTGCTTGGAATTGTGGTTTTAGTAAAAGAATATATTAAAACATTGTTTGCAAACTCTGCAATTGTGGGATAGGTGGGCCAGCAGTATTATCTATAGGAGGTGTGGTAGGCAGATTTTCTTCCAGAATCTGCTGGGAATACAAAGGTAAAAAGCCCAATTCTCCTCCTGCACCCCATTCTCTGACCTCTCACTACTGCTGTGACACTCTTGCCCCTTTCACCATGTTCCTAATCATGTCATTACCTTCAATTACTTATAAGAGTATGAACTCTTTCTCCCATTCGAATGTAAACTCTCTATTCACTTTGTTTTACAGCAAAAACTAACACTCCATTGTAAAGCAATTATACTCCAATAAAGATGTTTAAAAAAAAAAAGAATATAAACTCCCTAAGGGCCAAGACCTGTGTCATTCTCTGCTGTATTCCCAGACACTAAACACTGCCTGAAACAAGACTCTCCAAAAGTATTTACAGTATTAAAGTAATTAATGAAAAAGAACAAAGTTTGACACACAAGCTTGACAAGGTAAACTCATAAACCAATATAACAGCACAAGTCATTGCTGTTCTGGTTAAATTTATTTTCAATTAATAATTGAATTAAAACAGAAAAAAAAAAGGTAAGCAGAAAATAATGACTCCATCTCACACGTATTAAGATGGCTATTAAAAAAACAACCAGAAAATAGCAAGTGTCTACAAGGATGTGAAGAAATTGGGACCCTTGTGCACTGTTCGTGAAAATGTAAAATGGCACAGCCACTGTGGAAAACAGTATGGTCATTCCTCAAAAATTTTTAAATAGAATTACCACATGCCCCAGCAATTCCACTTCTGGGTATACACTCGAAAAAATTGAAAAGAGGGATTCAAACAGATATTTATACATGTGTTCATAACAGCATTATTCACATCAGCCTAAAGGTGGAAGCAACCCAAGGGTCCATCAATAGATGAATGGATGAACAGAACGTTGTGTGAAACTTGAGGACATTATGCCAAGTGAAATAAGCCATCACATTATATGATTCCACTTGTATGGGGTAACTAAAGTAGTCAAATTCACAGAGACAGAAGGTAGAATAGTGGTGCCTAGGGCTGGGAGGAAGGCAGAATAGGGAAAGTCTAATGGGTGCAGAGTTTCAGTTTTGCAAGATCAAAAGAGTTTTGGAGATGAATGGTAGCGATGACTGCACAACAACCTGAAGTACTTACTACTATTGAATGGTTAAGATGATACATTTTATGCGTATTTTACCAATATTAAAAAAAAATTTTTTTTTAAAAAAAACCGTTACAATAACAATCCACATCAATCAAAACCAGTAGGGAGGGCTTCCCTGGTGGCGCAGTGGTTGAGAGTTCGCCTGCCGATGCAGGGGACGTGGGTTCGTGCCCCGGTCCGGGAAGATCCCACATGCCGCGGAGCGGCTGGGCCCGTGAGCCATGGCCGCTGAGCCTGTGCGTCCGGAGCCTGTGCTCCGCAACGGGAAAGGCCGCAACAGTGAGAGGCCCGCGTACCGCAAAAAAAAAAAAAAAAAACCAGTAGGGAAAGGAGAAACTCGGACTAGCCCAGCTTTAACACAACTCGACCACCAGTCTGTGGAAACAGGAAACCAAGGGCGGGGCAAGGGCAGGCTTCCAGGGCTGTGACCTGGGCGAGACTCCAGAAAAGCCGCGGGTTGAAGCGGGTCACCGGTCGCCTAGGCTGCCACTGCGCAAGCGCATATCGCGGCTACCACCGAGGCGCCTTTTAAACGTACCCGGAAGTGACGTCTGTAAAGCTGAGACCGGCTCAGGGAGATCTGAACTCTTCGCACAGGTGAGCGGTTCTGCGACTGTCGTCCTGGGGCCGCTATGAGCTGCACCATCGAGAAGATTCTGACAGACGCTAAGACTCTACTGGAGAGGCTGCGGGAGCACGATGCAGCCGCCGAGTCGCTAGTGGATCAATCAGCGGCGCTGCACCGGCGGGTGGCCGCTATGCGGGAGGCGGGGACAGCGCTTCCGGACCAGGTCAGGCAGAGGGTAGGGGTTCGTGCCCTCGGGTTCCGGGCACTTGAGGGGTGGAGGGTGAGGTAGAGTGGGCACTCGGCCTGGAATTTTGTCCTGGTCCAAGAGGGCGGTGGTGAGAACGTTCTGCGGGGTCGGGGCTGAGGATGCTGCCCTGAAGCTCTGCCTCCTGCCTATTAAGTTGCATCTGCGGCTGTTCTCTTTAATGCGCGATTAGTCTGTCTCTGTTTGTCCAGTATCAAGAGGATGCATCCGATATAAAGGACATGTCCAAATACAAACCTCACATTCTGCTGTCCCAAGAGAATACACAGATTAGAGACTTGCAGCAGGAAAACAGAGGTTGGTCAGGCCTTTTTGTGTAGTTATGATTTTTTCATAAGCAGTAATATTTCATAAGTTCTTGCAAAACTGTTCACAAAAGCGCACATTCTGTATGTATTTCCAAGTCAGAGAGGGGCATTGGTGGTTCAGTGGTAGAATTCTCGCCTCCCAAGTCAGTACTTTTAACAGGAAAGTTAGCCTGTGCTCGCCCAGTATCAGTAAAGTTTGTTACATTACCCTTTTCAAGGTCTTACTGATTTTTTATTTAAAGGCAGCTTATCAAAGAGGTGCTTAGTAGAGTTGAATTATTGCATGGCTTATTAGGTGTCCCAACATGGAGGCTTGCATAACAAGAGAATATCCTCAAGGACTTAAATTTTAATGTTTAAATATTAATTGAAATAAACATTAAAGCTAAGATTGAAGGTTTTTTTATGTTCCTTGTGCAAGGTGGAAGAGGTAAATCGTATCCTCGGGTGTATATTCTTGGGCTTGATGAATACATTATTAATGATAGTAGTATGAATAGTTATTTGTATATCAGTTTACAGAGGGCTTTCACGTGTATCATGCCATTACATTCTCACATCTTCATTTTGAGGTAGACAAGCAAGGTTTTTATTATTACAAGGCAGATAAGCAATAGGCTCAGAGAGGTTAAATGATTTGCTTAAGAGTCGTAATCTAGTGACTCACAGCACTAAACTTAAACTCATGTCTTCTGAGGCCACATCCCGTGTTGTTTCTACCAAATTATGCTGCCACTGCCTAGAAAGATATTTTTCACATAGACCATAACTTGAGTTCTGTGGACTTAAACACTAATTTACAACTTTGGATTCATAATGTTACATGAAGTGTCATAAAATTCCAACTGTTTGAGTTTGGCTTTAGGACGTATCTCTCAGACATCACTGCCAAGTTATTTTATTTTTTTGATAGAGCTATGGGTTTCCTTGGAGGAACACCAGGATGCTTTGGAACTCATCATGAGCAAATACCGGAAACAGATGTTACAATTAATGGTTGCTAAAAAAGCAGTGGATGCTGAACCAGTCCTGAAAGCTCACCAGTCTCACTCTGCAGTAAGAAACTTTGATGAATACATTCTAAATGAATTGAAATCTTGAAATTGTTTTAGATTGTGTGTTTGCTTTTGAAGAAAAGTAAGCTTGTTTTCCTTTCATGTTTATCACATTTGCTGTAGGTTTTACTATAGCTTTGTAAAGATATGAATAGAAAGAAGGGGGTAAAGGGCTGCTCAGGGCCTTTTATTTGAGTAAGACTAAATTTCCTCCCCCCTTCACCAAGATCTCTTTTCAAGATGTTAATGAATGCTTAGTTAGCTCTTCCACCAAACAGAATGCCAGTTAGTGTTGAAGGTGCTCAGTAAATACTTGGGTAGTTATTATTGTACATTTCACTGGTCTGTAAGCTCCTTGGTTGTAAGGAGCATGAATTCATCTTTTATCCCTAACATAGTACTTGGCACATAGCAGGGGGTCAGTAAACTTTTATTAAACTGAACTACATAGCATCATACTATGTTGTTAGGAGAGAGAAGTATGGTTTAAAAAAATAAAAGACATGGCATAGTTTCTATACTTTGGTTGCTTATGATTTAATTTGGGAGACTGAGTACTTGTTCTTAAGTTTGTAGAGTGCTTCAGAGTTGTCATTGTACATTCACAGGTACTATATCATTTAATCCTAGATTAATAGATTGACACCTCACTATTTACTGCAGTGGAATTTATGGAAGATAAGTTTCATCTTAGATCCCACTTGAAGCATTTTAATGACTTCAGTTAACTAAAGTCATAGGGCACAGGGATATTTTAAATATGTGAATGGGTTACATCTGGACAAGATAATAATCTGTGGTCCAGAGGAGAAAACTTGATCCTTGAAGGAGACAGAGTTTAGCTTTTATGAAAAACTTGCTAAGAGATATGTCCAATGATAGAATAAGATACTTTGGAATATGGTAAGCTTCCTGCCAATAAAAGTATTCAAATTTAAGTTAAACAGCCATTTAGAGATAGTGTCCAGTGTCCAATGGGTGGTTAGACTAGAACTGATCTTTTGAAAACAAATTATCTGTGAATATCACAAGATAACTTTATTATGGCTTTACCTCTGAGGACTTAGATTGTAGTGAAACTCCTTTGTAACCTCTGTACCACAGATTAAATGAACTTTTAACATCATAATGCACATGTTTTCATGAACTTCCTATCTGTAAAAAAGATGACTTTTTCACCTTTTTATTCTTAATATCCTCACAGGAAATTGAGAGTCAGATCGACAGAATCTGTGAAATGGGAGAAGTGATGAGGAAAGCAGTTCAAATGGATGATGATCAATTTTGTAAGATTCAGGAAAAACTAGCACAATTAGAGGTAAGATTGTTGATACTTTAGGTTCACAATATTTTACGGAGATTTCAGACTCTGGAAGATACGCCATCACTGTATTATCACTGTTATGTACTGATGTTTCCTTTGTGGTCTGATTTAAAATTAAAATACATCCTCCATACCCTTTTCAAGAAAGGAAATGTAATCAGCAGCAAACAATGAAAATGCCAACTGTGTATTAGCTAGAAATTGAGATATCATATTGAGAGGGTAGAGAGAGTGGAAGGGACAGATTACATGTGAGCTAAGGTGCCTCATCTGCCATAAAAAGAACTCAAATAGGCAATGTCTAAACTTCATGATCAGGAAATAGCAGTACCGGGCATATTATGTAGAATTATGGAAGTAAATACCAAAAGAAATAGATAAAAATATTAAAAGTGGTTGCCTTTGGGAAACAAAGTCAAGGGACTGCAGTCTATTTTATAAGTCTTATAGTCTTGATTTTTTTTAAATTAATTTTTATTGGATAGTCTTGATTTTTTTTAAAAGCTATTTTCTGTAATATTTTGATTAAAAATGGGAGTAATTTACAAAGAAAGGCCTGGGGTGTTAGTGTGCCCATAAAATTGTTAAGGAAAAGCATTACAATAGATCAGCAGTCCCCAACTTTTTTGGCATCAGGGACTAGTTTCGTAGAAGACAGTTTTTCCACAGATTAGGGGTGGGGATGGGGGGATGGTTCAGGCAGTAATGTGAGCGATAGGGAGTGGCAGATGAAGCTTCGCTTGCTCACCTGCCACTCACCTCCTGCTGTGCGGCCCGGTTCCTAACAGGCCGTGGACCAGAAGCCATCAGAGGCCCGGGGGTTGGGGACCCCTGCAATAGATGATTTGAATGTTCCTTATTACAAGATGCTGTCATGGGCCCTTTGAGAAATACTAGAGAGAAAAAGACAGGGTCCCTGCTCAGAGTCTAATGAAAGGAATAAGACTAGTAGTATTTTGGTGTGAAATGGTATATAAATGCTAGGAGAGAGATACAGAGTATTGAGGGAAGCACTTTATATGGTACAAGGTTTAATGACCATGGGCTCTAACTCTCAGTGAAACCTGAAAATGCTGTGGCTTCCCAGAATTTCCTGCAGAGAGAATAAGGATGAAGAGTGCACACTGCCCTACCTGGAAATCAAAGGGAGTGGCAAGGTCCCAATTAGGAGCTAGGAGTTAGGTAAAATGATAGAATGATCTTGTCTACGCCGTCCCTAATTTATCTCACTTATGGAAACAGCCTAAGGAAATGTGGGACAAATTTTACTGAATATTTTAAGGGGCATTGGATTGAGACCCCAGCAATACCACATCTAAGTTGTCTAAGTTTGGACAAGTTTTTGGACTTTTGTGGGCCAGTGTCCTCATCTCAAAGAGAACACGGATGTAGGCAATGGTACTTACCCTACCTATTGTGTGAGATAATAGATGTAAGACACGCATGTGACACCTGGCTGTGTGCCCAGTGATTCTTTTCCCCCTTTCCTTCCTTTCTCCAAAACCGTAGGACGTCTAGGAGAGAAGATTGACCAGAGTGAAATTATTATTAGGAATTTGAAAGATAGAAGAAACAATACTAAAACTTGTGGGAACCATAAAGAGTTTGACAAGCAGTGAATTCCTCAAGTGGAGAGGGACCTTGTTTTTTTCTGTGTAGTCCTAACACGTGGCATGTGGAAATTACTCAGTAAATGTTTTTTAAATGAATAAATAAGTAGAATTTTAGGAAATTCTCAGTTCTTTTGTTTCCTTAAAACTTTTAAAATTAAAATAATATACTTTCTGTTTCAGGCCCAAAACAATGTGTTCTGATGCAATTTGACAGTCAAAATACCTGAAATGAACATATACTTTTTTTTTCCAGCTTGAAAATAAGGAACTTCGAGAATTATTGTCCATCAGTAGTGAGTCTCTTCGGGTCAGGAAGGAAAACTCGATGGACACTGCTTCCCAAGCTATCAAATAATTCAACTTGTGAATGACGGCTAGAGATTGTTTATCGAGGAAGGAAGTTATTATCTCTCTATTCGAGTATTGTCCATTCAGTGTCTTGCCTCAGACTTGATTTAACGTTGATTAAATGTATCAAGTGGCAGTTTAGAATTCGCAGTCAAAAGTGGCTGTCCACGAAACAGTTTTGGGGTATGTTAGTGAAAATACTCACTAAAATACACTGAGTTTCACCATTCCTTTCTCTAAGAGACTACTTTTAATTTTCATTTCTGGGACCTCAATTTATATGAACTGTTTTCAGTTCATTTTTGTTCTTTCATATCTCTGAAACTTAGAGCATTTTATTATAAACCAGCAATTTTATTTTATATAGGATTGTAAATTGCAATTCTTAAAAATTTTAAAAAGAGATTAGCTTTTTCAATATATTTGGCATAAACCTGGATTTGTTTCCATTTGAGAAAAATAATACAATTCCACAGAAGTAGATTGGCAGATTCTCTAATTTGTAATGTCATTCACCTTTTTTGATGTTTTAAGTCTCTCTGGTGCTAAGAGTTGGCACTTTATGGCCTGGTGTCTTTACTCTTAATTTGAGAGAACCTATTGCTAGTCCCTGGGAAACATACTTGAAAATAAGTCAACTGTTTTTTTACTAGTGGTAGGATAATCATCGTATTGTTCAAAGAATGCTGAAAAATTTGTCCTGTGTGTGTTTACACACACATGTGCTCTTAGTTCAGATGCTAAAAGTAACTTTTATTTATTCTATTAGATGTTAGTAGTCAATTTTTCAATTTTGTCCTACTAGGAAATCTTCAGCTTGGGTAGATTACCCAGTGTGAAGAAGATATAATTGGTTTATTCACATCATAGTTCTTAGGTACTACATTCTACAGTTTATATATAACTTTCATTTATAATTAAGAACCATGACTTACTTGGATATCTTTCATTACTAGTACTAGTAGTTGGCTTTCTTTTTAGATCCATTTTTCACAGGAAGCAAAGTTGTATCACTTAATGAGAGTTTATTACATTCATAGAAGCTGTGTTGAGATTCAAATGCTAAGTGGTCAGCTAGGCCCACTCATCATTTCATTCCCCCATCTCAGTTTACTCACATTTCAAACTTATAAATTACTTCATGTAATACTATCAATTTAGGTTTGCCCCAAAATAATTGAAATAATGAATGCTAAACCTGTCAATATTTCCCAGTAACCGAAAGCACTATACTGCATGGGAGAGACACATCATTAGAAAGAGTTTTTTGTTAGTGCTTTGTGTGGTGTAACGTTTTTTTTGTACAGCCATAAAGAATTAACTCCAAATAAAACAACAGAATTTCTCCATGATATCCTAAGAGCATCTGATCCCAGTAATACCAAAGGACTTTGCCTAAAATGGTAGGCTGTAATGAATCGGTATGTCATTTTTGAATTTGTCAAATTTCTATTCAGAATCCTGCGAACAATTTCCACCCGAAGTATGGATGTTTTTATCTCATTTCCTAAGAGTATGTAAACTTTTAGTTTAGCCATTTGCCTTGCGGTATATGTCCTAAGTGCCACTCTGTGTTCCACAGTTCCATTCAGGAGGCAGGTACCCTATACCATTGGTCAGCTGCCATGGCCAGCTTTCAGTGAAAATGATAAGGTAATCAAATGGCCCGTTAAACTATAACATGGTGTCCCTTTATCTGCTTTATGTTCCTTTAGAGTTGTTTGTAAAGTTCTTTACATCTCAGATATCAGGATAAATCTAAATGTTAACTTTTCCCCCTGGTAAATCAAAAGCTTGAAGCATGAGCCTCAAGAATTCTCAGCACCCTATATAATGTGAATTCTAGCTGGTGTTAATACTATGAAAATAGTGTGTAGTTAGAAAATTGAAGGGGAGAAGGAATGTTCTTGACTTTGGTCTGAATGGGTATGAAAGTTTATTTTGCAGTGGATGATGGAACTTGACTGATGTGCAAAATTTTAGTACAAACTTATCTTTTCTAATAAAAATCTCATTTTGAGAATATCAGCTAATTTTACTCAGTAATGAGTCTAATTATAGGAAGTGCAAGGGTTTATATTTCACTTATATAGCAACCTATCAGGTACACAGTGTTTTTCATAAATACTCTCTAATTATCACATTGTAGTTCAGATAACTATAAATAGTTGTTTCTGAAAGGTTTTAGAGGTTTCCTCATGGTTAGAAATCATAAGTTGCATGATTACAAGTCAAAGTATAAAATTAAAACTGTTTGGAAGTATCTTGGAAAAATGCGTAAATATTATTGATACCTACCTTTATTACCTTATATTAATACCTTATGCATAATTTGATTCAAACATTGAAGATCTATTTCAGTGTTCCTCAAAATGTGGTTCACTGACCTACTACAATAGAACTTTGGGGATGGAATCTAGGAATTTGTATTTTAATAATCATCCCAGATAACTTCTAAGGACACTAGTTTGAGACTGTCTAGTTTACTATGTTAGGCACTTGATTTGGAGTTACGAATTTTAAAAAGCGGGGGAGGCGTTGACAGTGTTTTTGAAGAAAAATCTGGTAAAAGAGGCAAACAATGTGATAAATCCAATATAAGGATGTATAGAGTACAGAGGAGGGACTATTTACAACTTGAGAATCCAATAGAGACAAAATGAGTAGAACTAGAAAGCTTAGTGCTTTCTAGTTATTATATAATCTCCATTTCAACTGTACCTCATTTTACAGATACTCAGGCACGAGGAGGTTGTTATTATTCCAAACTGAAACCAAGATTCAAACCCAGACTTAAACATATTCTTAACCATTAAGTTAAGATTCCCTTAAATGCCAAATACTATTCAGAGTTCAAGTGGTTCTTGAGAGGAAAATCTATTTTATTAATGGTGCAAAAGATACACCACAGCCCATATTAGAAAATATCATGAATTTAATAAATGGAGTCTTAAGGAATGAGACATAATTGTCATCTGTTTTTTAGAGTGGTGTAGCTGAGAGTATGTGCGTGCAACTGAAAAGAGCAATGCTTAGGGCTTCCCTGGTGACGCAGTGGTTGAGAGTCCGCCTGCCGATGCAGGGGACACAGGTTCGTGCCCCGGTCCAGGAAGATCCCACATGCCGCGGAGCGGCTAGGCTCGTGAGCCATGGCCGCTGAGCCTGCACATCCGGAGCCTGTGCTCCACAATGGAAGAGGCCACAACCGTGAGAGGCCCGCGTACCACAAAAAAAAAAAAAAAAAAAAAAAAAGAACAATGCTTAATCAGTGCTTAACAATCCTTACTGTTGATACATACAGGAAAGGGTGCAGTTCTGTCTTTCAAATCTGTCTCCTTAGCATGTTGTTTTTCAGGCTCCACGCAATTTTCTTGTTGCAAGAAGGTTGCTGCTCTGCCAGAAGTCATGTCCATGTTTGAAGGCAGAAAAAAAAAGGGAAATGTCGTATGCCAGCTATATGTATTCTCTTTTATGAGGAAAAGCAACGCTTTCCCAGAAATCCAGACAGACTTCCCTTTGTCATTTGCCTGACTTGTTACATGGTCACTTCTAGCAGCAAAGGAGGCTGGGGACATAGCTGCCACAAATAAAATCAGTATTCTATTAGCAAAGAGGAAACAGTATTGGTAAAGCAGCTAACAATGTCTGACACAAGTCCTCTTACACTGAATAGCTTTTAACAAGTGTAAGCATTAGCCAAAGGAGTGTGTTGGTGTTGAGTGGCCAAGGAGTGGGCTGCGGAAGACATCTGACATTTCTTTTTAGGCTGCCCATTATCCTAACTCCTATACTGTAGTTAGGGAACCCATCACCTAATGAGGCAGAGCCTTCCTCCCTCCTAAAAAATTTGAAAGTGTCAGATGTTTTCCCAGCCACTTTGCAGCCAGTGAAGATACCTCTGCCTTAAAAGTTAGTGATACAAAGAAGCAGGGAACTATGCTGAATTCTTTGAATAAAGGCAGTGACTACAACACTGGCTACTACATCCACCTCCACAGAAGGAGCAGCAAGTGGCTGTACTGACAACATTCAGTATCCAGTGTCAGCAAAGTCAATGGTGTAAGCTGCAGTGTCTCTGCCCCAGTGGACACAGTGGGGTCTTCACTGAAGCAATTATCTGAAGTGATTATAGAGGTTGTATAGCCTCTAATTCTGGTTTTCTGGCTATCCAGAGATCCTGAGGATTACCTGAGGATTATTAGCTTTTAATAAAATCACTTTTTGTTAAAATTAACCTGAATTGACTATAATTAAGAACACTGACTGATAAAATAAGCATAGTTTAAAAAGCAACAATGCAAATATAAATTTTGTCAACACATTATGCATAATTTTGCCCTTATGTTTTAATGTAATTTTTGACATAAAAAGATGTGACATGCAAATTATCAAGCATAATAATTCATCACCTAATTTAAAAAATAGAACATTACCCATATGTTACATTTATTTATTTGTGCTCCTCTCCTGTCTCTACCCCTCTGCTCCCTCTTTTTAATAGTTTTATCACATGAGAAAAGACCTAAAATATGTGTATAACACTAAAGTGACATTTTTTAGTTTTGCTCCTTTTTGAGCTCTATGAAAGTGGTATTAGACTGTATAGTAGTCTATGGGGATTTGATTTTTTTCACTCTTCATTTTGTTTCTAAGATTCATTGTGTTGTATATAGTTGTCATTCATTTTCATTGATGTACTAGATTTCATCATGTGACTACAGTATATTGTTAAGAGATACATACATATAAAATAATAAAATTATACATTTTTTAAAAAAATCCTTGCTAATATCTGACTCCTAATTTTTAATTCTTCCTCCATCTACCTCATTGATATTAGACACGTTTCACTATAAGCAGTTGTATTTCGTATTCTGCAGTTATTTCACTTGCAGTTGTCTCATGGCAACTTTCAAAGTGAATTAAGGACTATTATCCACTAATATTCATAGTGGAAAGCAGATGATGCTTTTTCTTTTGTCACTCTCCAAGAATGCCTAAGAGAAAGTGGAACCTTCAGAGCTTCGATGAACTACAATTCACTCAACATTTCGTCTAGCCTCCTAGAAATGGATTTCTGTATGTTATTGATCCTAAGATTCATTTTTATTTCATACTTTAATGTCTCTGAAATTGAGATATGTCTTATACATGTAGGGGTTGTCATCTAGTTGATTCTAAGCATAAGAAAATTGGTTTGCATTCCTGGTGGTGTGACTGGATAAAGTCAAGTTCTTGATATTTCAGTCAACAAACTAAGGACAATTTGAGAAAGGAATGGGGGTTTAGCTGTTTTCTGTGAACTTTCCATTAGCACTTACTGTAAAATCAGGAGTGCCAGCATAAGAATTTGGAGTATGGCTGTATTCATTTTCTATTGCTATGTAACAAATCACCACAAATTTAGCAGTTTAAAGCAACACCTATTTAATATCTTACAGTTCTGTAAGTCACAGGTCCAGGCAGGGCTCAGCTGGGTTTTCTCAGGATCTCACAAGGCTGAAGTCAAGGTATCATCCGAGGCTAGCATCTCGTCTAAGGCTCTGGGCCCTCTCCCATACTCACGTGGTTGCTGGCAAAATTCATTTCCTTGCAGGTATAGAACTCACAGGAGATCATCTCTGACTTCCCTTGCGTTCTACCTCTAGACTCCCTTTTAAGAGCTCATCTGGGGACTTCCCTGGTGGTCCAATGGTTAAGACTCTGTGCTCCCAATGCAGGGGTCACAGGTTCGATCCCTGGTCGGGGAGCTAGGATCCCACATGCTGCCGGTATGGCCAAGATAAAGTCTCCAGCCACTGAGGGGGAAGAAGAAGAGAGAAAAAGACAGAGAGAGACAGAGAGAGAGAGACAGAGAAAGAGAGAGAGAGAGCTCACCTGATTAGGTTAGGCCCACACAGAATAAGCTCCCTCTTGATTAACCCGACTGATTAGATATCTTAATTATATCTGCAGTGATCCCTTTTGCCATTGACGAGATATAAGTGATATCCTCTAAGATCTACAAGCCCAGCCCATGCTCAAGAGGAAGGAATTATACACGGCAAGTGTACCAGGTGATAGGAATCTTGGTGATCATCTTAAAATTCTGCCTACCACAGTGGCTTTTGGCAGCGTGGAATAAAATCCTGGAGACAACAATGAAACACTCAGGAAATTCTGCATTACCAGTATTCTTGGTGGCCCAAGAATACTTCTGTGTGGAAAAACCTGCACATCTATGAGACAAAAAAGAGATTTATTAGCAAGATCCACCAATGCATGCTAAAATAAGTGGACTAAAGTTCAAACAGAAAAAGGATATTTGCATAGTCTCTGTATCAGTTTCCCAGAGTTGCCATAACAAATTACCACAAACTGGATGGCTTAAAACAACAGAAATCTATTCTCTCACAGTTCTGGAGGCTGGAGGTCTGAAATCATGGTGTTGGCAGGTCGGTTCTGGAGGTTCTGAGGAAGAATGTGTTCCATGCCCCTTTTCTAGCTTCCGGCAATTCCTGGCATTCCTTGACTTCCATATGCATCATTGCAATCTCTGCCTTCTCAGTCTTCACATGGCATTCTCCTTATATGTCTCTGTGTCCAAATTTCCCTCTTCTAAGGACGCTGATTGTTGGATTAGGGTTTACCCTAGTCCAGTATGACCTCATTTCAACTTGATTATATCTGCAAAGATCCTATTTTCAAATAAGGCCACATTCTGAGGTTCTGGGTAGACATGAATTTTGACAGGACACTGTTCAATCAAGTATGGTCTCAAAGTATCTCCACCACAATATTTAATTATTGTAAAGGGAAAAACAGTAATTTTACCATGAAGAATCCTGGCAGACAACACTGACCAATTGATTAGGTAAACATCACTAATAATACTTTTCAACATCATATAAGCCCTGATACAATGCAATGACAAGAATACATGACCTCTGTAACATTCTTCCAAATAATGCATAACCTCAATCTAATCAAGAGAAACATCAGACAAAACTGAATTAAGGGAGGTTTACAAAATAACTGACCAATATTTTCCAAA